TGTAAAGAGACTCTGAAAGTTTCAGGAAAAAAGATTCTCTCTCTTTTTGTCCTGATCCATTTACACAGGCTGCTGCACCCCCGCTGTCTCAGGGAGAGATACCGCAAGTCCTTCCTTCCTGCAGCCGTCAGACTGTAGAACCAGCACAGCCCCTAGTAGAACCGCCCCCCCCCCCACACACATACCATAACACAGACTATAACACCCCTTGCTATGTGTAATATATATATATATATATGCCGTTAACACTGTGCTATATATACCTGGCTGCTAAATCCTAAGAACTGTTACAGGATGTGTATTTTGAAAATGATGTAACCTTTTTTTTTATTATATTTGTTTATTATATCATAACTTAGTACTTTTTAATGCATGTAACATATGTAACATTAATCTGTCTGTGGCTCTTTTTTTCTGCTCTAACTACGTACATTTCCCCTCTGTGGGACTAATAAAGTTATTCTGATTCTGATAAAAACCTGTCTGAAAATGAGCTGATCAGATTTTGGCCACTTTATGATGTCATAACCATTTTTTGTTTTGTGTAACCATTAGCCAATCACCAACCAAGGTAACACCATTACCATTAACTTCCTGCCAGACGCTTATGTCAGTCTCACCTTTTTGTCCCCCACCATGGCTCCTACCCTGACACCCAGCTGTGTGTGGTGGTCTTCACCCTTTGGGGGAACCCAGCTGAGGGGTCAAAGTTAAAGTCGAGGGCCCCGCCATCCATCAGGGTGTCATGGAGCACCGTCTCCATGTCACATTCAAGCCTCTCGATGGACACGTTGTCCAGGTCGCTGGGCAGCCGCTCCTGGTGATGAAGGTGAGGGTGAACCGAGCCGAGCGCCCTGTAGCCGCTGGTGTTGCCGTAGCCCGTGGAAACAGAGTAAGTGTGTGTGGGGTGTGTGTGAGGCAGCTGCATGAATGTCCTCAGGCTGGTCATTCGATGAGGGGCCCCTGAAGGACTAGTCAGACTAGTCAGGGGGATCATGTTACAGCTATTCAAATCGTGTGAGCTCGGAGGACCCTGTCTATGTATAGCTTGTGGATTTACATGAGGGTGACTCTGAGGAGGATTCATCATTTTCGCCCCGTTGTGACCCCCCATGTGGCTCTGGCGGCTGTAAGGGGGCAGTTGGCAACCTCCCCTCCCCACCTCCCTATTGGCTTCTGCTTCTGAGGTCAGCAGCTCTTTAAGGAGGCCAGCAGGGCAGATGTACTGGTTCTCATAAGCCCCAAAGCCCGGCTTGGTCTGTGGGAGCGCCTGCATGGGGGCGGGGGGCAGGTTACTCATCCTGACCTGGCTGTACATGCATTTACGGTAGTCTTTCTGTGGGAGCGGGGTCAAGCCGGGGGAGCTGTAGGGGCCGCTCTGAAGCATGGCAGCATTTGATGAATGTGCGGAGTCAGAAACCAGCTGTGGGGTTTTAGGGGGCAGCAGGTTCAGGTTATCCAGCAGACCCTCCATGACCATCTCTGAGCCGTGTATGGACCCGGCCACCTCGGACAGGCTGGGCAGAGAGGAGGTGATCTTGGTTCCCGACGCTCCGGGGTACATCATGTGGCCCTCAGACTCCCCCAGGTCGTCCGGGTCAGGAGGGAAAGGCGAGTGGCAGCCGCTCAGGGTGCTGGCGTCAGAGCTGGTGCGCGTCCTGAAGGAGCTCCAGGCTTCAAAGTCCTCGTTGCTGTGAGAGTTTGGGCTCCCCAGCCAGTTGGAGTACTGGGAACCAGGGCTGCCGTCCCCCCCCTCAACCCCCTCCTGTAGAGCCATCTAAAGATAGGAAAACATGAACCAGGCTACCATTAATAAACAACACTATAAATATTGTTTTTTACTAAAGATGATGTTTCCTAAAAAAAAGTGTGTCTTGTATTTGTAGCAATAAATATAATTATTGCTTTACGGTCATTTTAGGTATATTCAGTATGTTTTAGTGCCATTTTAAACACATTTTTATGATTAAATCGATCTTGAATTGTGATTATTTTCCACAGGATAATCGTTTTCTAAGAGAGCAGATGACTGTATTTTCTAAAAAGTCAAACTATTCTATTAACACAGATTTACCAGAGCTGTGAGAAAAACACATGGCAGTATGTTTTAATGCCATTTTAAACATATTTGTATTATTATAAGGATTATATCTTGAATTGTGATTATTTTCCACAGGATAATCGTGACTTAGAGCACATTTTCTAAGAGAGCAGATGACTGTATTTTCAAAGAATCTAACTTCTAGAGATTAAGCAGAGCTGTGAGAAAAATACACACATACAGAACACACTGATTGTATGAGCGAGTATAGTGTTAATAAAAAGGGGGACTGTACCTTTTTCTTTGTGGCCCTTCCTCGGCTCTTGGCAAACTTACTGTTGTTGTTGTCCATGGAGGCGGCTCTGCGGCGCGGCGACTTACCGCTCTTACCCCCATCGGGGTTCAACATCCACCAGGAGCTTTTGCCCGTCCCCTCGTTCTGTATGCGCACAAAGCGGCTGTGCAGCGACAGGTTGTGTCTGATGGAGTTCTGCGTGGAGAAAAGATTTGAACATTTGTAAACAGAGAAAAAAGGCGGGAAGACTTAAAATATAGAATTACTAGTTATGTTTAAACAAAACGAATTAATCAGTAAGCTAATCTGAGTGTCACAATATTAAGGTAATCATTAGTTCCTGTTGATTTCTGATTCTTTAGATATAAAATGCATTCTAAATAAAAACAAGAGAAAGAAAATAAGATCTTTTTCCCATAGGTGTATTATGCACGACAACAGAACAAAATCACCGAGGGGAAATAAGATATTTTCGGATAAGAAATGTGTCCTCTGCTCATAGATTTGATTTAAAAGGAAAACCTTTCATGAAGCATATTCATACACACCAACAATGAAACACATGAGCACATACTACGGTTCAAAAAAGCAGATATAAAATCTGAGCTGGCAGAAAATGTTAGTTTAACACACACAGTTAAGCTCACACACACTATTCTATAGGTTCACCTGCTGAATTAGAAAAAGAACAAATGAACCAAAGAAAGTGAAAACCACAAAGCAGATTCAGGCAGTAGGCGTATAGATTCACAATTAAAGTATTAGCTTACAGAACAGTACAGCTAACAAAGGAGAAATAACATCTGCTTCTTTTAAAACAAATACAACATGCTGTTTTTTAGCTTTTTAGTTACATTGTAATCCTGCTAGTAATTTTTTGGTATACTGATTGAATCCATTACATGTAATCTGTTACTCCCCAAGCCTGGTTGCAAGATCTCTTTGGACTTTGAGGAAGCTACAATGTGGAGTCTGAATAACAGGATTTCTTTCCAAATGTTATTTTATTGTGATAGGCCAAATCTTATGATAAACAACACTGACCCTCTGGTGAGGTGGCACAAGTTATCCCTAATCGCTTCTTACAGGGAATGAGATGAGAAGGTGAATTGCTGCGGAGGAACTATTTGCCACTTCTCATACCGAGTGGAGAAGGAGCTGTTGAGGGTGAGTGTGACGTCAAAGCCAGCAGATGAACAGGAAGTATGCATACGTCCATATCCTCAGTCAACAATATTATGTCGACTGAGCCTTTTCCACTCCACACTCTCCAGCAACATTTATAAGTTACTTTGGCTTGAGGAAGCAAGAAAGGGATATGTCATGTCATTAATTGTACACTATATAAATATACGGACCATGTCAGAACAGCCAGTGCTTGCTTAAAAAAGTCCTACATTAGAGTTGATTAGGGTGGTCATCCTTCTTCCTCCTCACCGTAAGCCATAATCATATGTTTCCTGTGATTTACACAATGTTTGATCAGCACATGCTTTTCCCACCCTTCCACCAGCAGCAGCAGATTCTTCAGAAAATGAGACTGCATTGCTTTGGGGTTTACCCAACTTGCTCCCTTTTTAAAAAAAAGCGTGGTCACATTTGTCCTTATGCCAACATGTATACACCTAAAGCCTCACTCAGTCCTCTCTCTGTAATGCTATGTTATGAACTCTAAAAAGAACGCAGAGGCGCCTCCTGCGGTAACTCTCTCAGGAAGAAAAACAGCGATGGTTAAGGAACACAGACATGGTCACACAGGACACAGATGCACTATAGACTGCTCTCAATGGATATTAAATGTTGGTCGTGGGTTGGGAGCATTCAGTGCATATCCGAAGATTGAGAAATAAATACATTTCTAATCATTTTGTTCAAAGTTATAACTATGTCTGCTCCATAGCTTCTCTTAATAACTGGACTTAAAATCCCACTGGACATTTTACATTCATATTCTATTTAATATTGAATAATCCATTCTTGCACAATAATATCCTGCATTATATTTGTTACTGGACATTTGTATTTCCACATGTATATATATGTTTTATCTTTTAACGCTATTTTATTTCTATTTCTGAAATATATTGCACTGTTTATTTCTGTGTCTTAGTTTCTCTTATGCACATTGCCCTGTGTTTTTTTATGCTGCTGCAACGCAAACAATTCCCAATGAAGTACCTATCTATCTATCTATCCATCCATCCATCCATCCATCCATCCATCCATCCATCCATCTATCCATCTATCCATCCATCCATCCATCTATCCATCCATCCATCCATCCATCCATCTATCTATCCATCCATCTATCCATCTATCCATCTATCTATCCATCTATCCATCTATCCATCCATCCATCATCATCCATCTACATCTATCCATCTATCCATCCATCATCCATCTATCCATCTATCTATCCATCTATCTATCCATCCATCCATCTATCTATCATCCATCTATCTATCCATCCATCCATCCATCCATATCCATCTATCTATCTATCCATCTATCTATCCATCCATCCATCTATCTATCATCCATCTATCTATCCATCCATCCATCCATCCATCCATCCATCCATTTATCCATTCATCTATCTATCTATCCATCTATCTATCTATCTATCCATCCATCCATCCATCTATCTATCTATCATCAATCCATCTATCCATCCATCCATCCATCTATCCATCCATCCATCTATCCATCTATCCATCCATCTATCTATCCATGCATCCATCTATCTATCCATCCATCCATCTATCTATCCATCCATCTATCTATCCATCTATCCATCCATCTATCTATCCATATATCTATTAGGGCTGTAACGATACACTAATCTCACGATACGATACGATACACGATATTGAGCTCACGATACGATATATATCACGATATTCAGCCAACGATACGATTCGATATAATTCGATACACTTACATCATGATGTAAGTGTATCGAATTATATCGAATCGTATCGTTGGCTGAATATCGTGATATATATCGTATCGTGAGCTCAATATCGTGTATCGTATCGTATCGTNAAGGGACACAACGACATGCTGACTGCAGTGGGACTCGAACTTGCTACCCCCTGATTCGAAGTTCAGCGCACTATCCACTGAGCTCCATTCAACCTGTTTGCATGTCTTTGTGAGCGCAGGCTGAGGAGCTCGTGTTCAGCACACAGTGAAGAGTGAACCCATTGACCTCAGCTCTGCCGGCAAAAACATCTCACTCTGACGTCCCTCCCCATCCTCGCCTCGAACTCTGTAACCTCCCCCCCTGCCTTCTTTTCCAGTAAAACATTTCTCATTCATGCACAGCTCGCTGCCTCCACAAAGCCACCATGGATGTATAGTTTGAGCTGAAGCTTGCCGTGGCTCAGTGCCTTTGTATGGGGACAGTCATCCAAAACAATGCGCAAACACAATATCCTTAGTATGTTCTATTCCTACAATTACTTGAAGTGTCATTCAGGTTCTAGATGGATAGATGGATGGATAGATAGATAGATGGATAGATAGATGGATGGATAGATGGATGGATAGATGGATGGAT